TTTAGATTAATGAATGCCCCAGCAATATTTCAACAAAGAATGGATAAGATTATTAGATCAATAAATTTTTTTTGTATTGCTTATGTAGATGATATCCTTATTCATAGTCAAAATTTAAAAGAACATATCGAACACCTTAAAAAAATTTATTATATTGCTCAAAAATATGGTCTAGCCTATCAGAAAGAAAGGCAGAAATAGCTAAAACTGAAATTGAATTCTTGGGATATATTTTTACAGAAGAGAAAATACTCCAACAACCTCATATTGGAAAAAAAGATTATCGAATTTTCAGAAATAATTAGAGATAAGAAAGAGCTGCAAAGCTTTATTGGATTATTAAATTATTGTGAAAAATTTATAAAAAACTGTTCAAAATACAAAGTCCACTTTACCAAAAAACTTAGAAAAGTAGTTGTATGGGAATAGACACAAGAATATATTGAAATGATAAACAAAATAAAGAAAATATGTAAAAATTTACCTGAATTAAATATTCCAAATGATGATGATTTCTATATTTTAGAAACTGATGCATCGCTATTATACTGGGGAGCGATCCTCAAAAGAAAAGAAAATCAGAAAGAATTTCTTTGTAATCCATTGTGTAAATATCCAGAAGAACTTGTTGCATACACTTCAGGTGCTTTTAAGAATGCAAAAACCAGAAATGATATTAATCGTAAAGAATGTTTGACTGTTAAGAAAGGAGTAGCAAAATTTGAACCTTATTTGTTACTAAAGAAGTTTCTTATTAGAACTAATAATACTCAGGTAAAACCATTATTGACAAATAAACTTGGAACAAGTGCAGCTGAAAGGCCACTTATTAGAATGCAAATGTGGTTTGCGCCATTTAANACGTATGGAACTTATAACAAAATTAATATATATCCAGGAGCCCCAACTAATTGGGTTCACACTCTTTATGAAATGGGAAATATCGTCTAAATCATTCAAAGAAATTTCTATGCTACCAAAGGATGTTGTGCGAGCTATTGAAAGATATTGTTAAGTTCTTAAACACAAGAATATTTATATTAGATTTTTCTCTGCTTGTCCTGAATGGGAAGATGAAGAAGATAAATTGCTTCCAGTAAGTCATGTCATAAGAATAGCTACCACTTCTAAGCATTTCCAGCCTGAGAAAAGTGAAGTTCATGAAACTCTCTCCTACCCCCACCAAGCCTATTTGCAAATCCATCATGGTTAGGGACATTGGTCAAGTTAGCTCTCTCTAATACCCATTATTATATGTAATTGGAGTCTCGATTTTTAGGCCTAGACATGGTGGGGTTAGTTCGATTATTTCACACTTGTCTCTAATTAAAACATAATTTTAACGTTAGAAATATTTTTGGTGCATAATAAAAAAAAGTGAGCTGTTATTTTCATTCATCAGTCTTTTGTACCTATACTTGCGACTTGTTGACCTTGCAAATTTGCTAATTGTTGGTTCAAATCATTATGTTCGGGTGAATACTTTTTAAAAAAAAAAAATTAAAAACTTATAAATCAATTTTAGAGTTGGGTACCCATTGTTCGGTTTAAGAATCAAGAACCGTCATGGATCTCGTTGATTCTCAATTTAGATTCCCCTTCCTTTTTCTATTTTTTTTAAATTGGAACAAAATCTCCCATTTCATTCGAGAGGTTCACTTTTAGTTAAAATGCACACCCTTATCTCCTTCCATAGTTTGTAGATTTTTTTTATTTCTTATTTCTTATTATTTAGAAATGAAATTATTCTAAAGAATATAGATATCCATATTCTATTTTGTGTAACATGTCATATTGTTCGAGAAACTCTAGATGATGTTAGAGTAAAGGATCGTGAACAAGTACGTTCTAATGCGTTATAGATTCTTATAAAAAAACTTGTATCATTTGATGATGCTACAACACCCTTTGCTCTAACTAATATATCGACCATTTCAAACGTGATTTCTATGTTCTATATAGCCGTGTTTAAGGGCATATTGATCGAAATAGATTCTTCTTTTTGATCAATCAACTATTTTTACTATGAATTGTCTTCATTTTCAAAGAGTTAAAATCAAAATA